CCCCTTCTTCCTTATTTTGTGAAAATCTTGATTTATTGCCATTTGATTTCTGCTATTTTATTTATCTTAGGGCTCAACTACATTATGGTTAGACATATTTGGTAATACATACTTCATTTTATTTTAAAAGCATAAATGAAGGTAAATTAAATCATTTAATATGGGCAACATGATGTCCTGAACAAATATATACATGGTGGAATGACTCAGTCAAGTTAATTAACATATGTGTCATATATTTATCCTCTTTGTGATGGGAACAGTGAAAATCTACTCTTAGTGATTTAAATAATGTAACACATTATTATTCAGTACAGTTTCATGTTAAACGAGTCCTTTTGTCTAACTGAAATTTCCTATCTTTGACAAACATCTCCCCAGTCCTCTCCTCCCCCACTCCTGCTAATGGGCATTTTACTCTCTACTTCTGAGTTTAGTCTTCCAAGATTCCCTATGTGAGATCATGTGGCATTTGTCATTTTGTGCTTGAAGTTTATTTCAGTTAACACAATGTCCGACATATTTATTTATGTTATCAGAAATGACTGGGTTTTTGTTCACAGTTTCCTCTGTGTGTATGTTTATATGTCACATTTTTAAAATTCACTCATCTGTGATGGAAGCTTAAGTTCAATCCCTCTCTTGCCTCTTGAGAATTTTGTCAGCAGTGAACATGAGAGCACAGATAACTCAAGATTTTATTTTTTTTGGGTATATACAATGAGATAGCATTACTGGATCATATATGAGTTCTATTTTCAATTTTTGGAGGTACCCATACTCTTCTGTAATGGTTGTAATAATTTACATTCCCATCAACAATCTATAATAAGTACTTTTGTTGTTACCCTCATCAATACTGGTTATCTCTTGTAAGACTTCTGAGGCAGAAATAACATAATTCATAGCCCAAGCTCATCTACAAGTTTTCGTATGCAATATCTTGCACTTAATAAAAATACTTAGACCAATGACAAAACAAGGACAATGCAAACCAAGGAAAAATCATAAAAATTGAAAGCAACTCGTGTTTAGTAATGCTGTTATTAGACTCAGATTTGAAAATAAATACGCTTAACATATTCAAAGAATTTGAGGACAAAATTGAAAATTTGGCAAAGAAAAACCTCATATAAACTGTAGAACTAAAAGACAAAATAATAATAACAACAGGAGTTTCATAGATCAATTATTTGTAAATTAGATACTCTTGAAAACGGAATAAATGACGTAGATGAAGTTATAAACAAATGGCAAGATTGAGGATTAGAGACATTTATAAATGGTAACCAGAGAAAGGAACGTGGAACATGTTTGATGTTTGTACCTATGTTAGTAGGTGTAATTTAAATATTAAACAAAATGGAGAGAGTGAGGCAGAACCAATTTTCTTTTATGTTATTTATCTTATTAAACTTCATCACTGGCTTCCACATTGTACAAGCCAAAATTTAAATATCTGTCAAATAGTTCTCTGTCTAATTCTTTTCTTTTTGCAAATTAAAGTTTTTATTTATTGTTTTATAAAGAAGAAAAAATAAAACACTTTCAAAACAAGATAATAGGAGAGTAACAATAATTAATACATTGTGTATTGTTATCTTCAGAATAGTTACTCAGGGTACAAGTTATAGGTATTAAATATTGTCAAACGATATTAGCACAAACCTTTTCAACAAACTAAGAGAAACTAACAGTATTGTCTTAACTATCTTGTTTATCTGTCTATCTATCATCTATCTATCATCTATCTATCTATCATCTATCTATCTATATATTCTTTTTCCTCTTCCCATCCTTCCTTTCTCCTTTCCCCATCACAGTTTCTCTTTTAAATTTGAATAGTTTCTTCCCAATTCACAATACCTATTGTACATTCTGGTCCTATTTACTCATTCAGCTTCTCACACTAGTGAGACAGTGTTTACACATGCGAGTCTGATTTATTCCACTTTTAAGTATGGTCTCAAGTTGCATCCATTTACGTATGAGTCTCAAGTTTATCTTTCTTAATGGCTGAGTAGTACCCCATTAAATTAAAAAATACATTTTTTTTTTTTTTATCCATTTCTAAGTTGATGGGCATTTGGGTTGTTTCCAAGATTTAGGTCTTGCAAATTGTGCTGTTATAAATATGAGTGCACATATATTGCTGTCATATGATGTTTTTAATTCTTTTGGGAAGATACCCAGAAGGGGGAATAGCTGGGTCGAATGGGACCTCCAATTCTAGTTTTTTGAGAAATCTCCACATTGATCTCCACAATGGTTTCACTGGTCTACACTCCCACCAACAGTGGAGAAGAGTTCCTTTTACCTCACAGCCCTTCCAGCATTTGTTATTGGTTGATTTCTTGATGATAGCCATTCTTTCTGGAATGAGATGGAATCCCAGTGTTGTTTTAATGTGCATCTCTCAAATGACCAATGATGTGAACACTTTTTTATATATTTATTTGCTATTTGTATTTCTTAATTTGAGACATGTGTATTCATCTCAGATGACCATTTTTGGATTGGGTCTTTGAATTTGGATGCCTGATTTTTTCAGTTCTTTATATGTTTTTGAGAGAAGTCTTTCATCTAAGGGACAACAGACTATAATTTTTCCCCATTCTGTGGGATGTCATTTCACTGTGTTGGTGATTTCTTTTGTTGGGCAAAACTTTTAGCAAAATGAGATTCCAGTTGTTGATCTGAGCTTTGTTCATTTTTATCCTATAATCTAGCCCCCTTTACCTTTTCAATGCTGCTTTCTTTCTGCATAGAAGATCTTTTATTCTTCCTATGTAAATGCTACTCATCTTTAAAAGATTTAACTCAGGCATCTTTCTTAATTTACCGGGACATACTTTGTTGACTTCCTGATATTATTTTATTAGAGCAATGTCGCATAGGTCAAGACTGTGTCTTCCACTAGAATGGGAGCTCCTAAAAAATTAATCTTGATGTCTATGTCAGAATTTGTATTTAAAGACATGGTGAATGAAAAGAAAATTTTCTAAATATGATCCTAAATATCAACTAGACCAATAACAAGGCTGTTAAAAACCAAAGAGAAAAATTTAAAATCAGACAGCAAATACTTTAACTTAAAAGCAGTGACCTTACAGTGTATGGGTAAATCATTAATTGAAATTATGGAAGGAAACAGTGGACTTAACAATCTTTGAATTTCTTAAAGAATGATGATCATCTTCCTAATGCAATTGAGTAGGTAACTAGAAGACTGGAACTCAGTGAGTGATAGAATTGCCTTCTATGGAAAATTCTAGTTCAATGTATGGGACAAACTGCCCAGTAGTGTCAGAGTCAAGGACTTAGACAGAAGAGGTAGAAAAAGTTAATGCTAACCTAGAATTCTACATATGGTAAAAATATCTTCAAAGCTGAATGTGTAATAAGCAAATTTCTAGTCAACAAAAATGAAAGGAGTTTTTAAGCAGTATAACTATACCAGAGAATCTTATAATTGCTTTCTGCAGGGCAGATGTGAAATAGTTTTCATGAGAATGTACAAGAAAGCTTGTTCATACCTATTGTGGCTATAGAAAATCTCCTGTTTATGTTTTGATGCTGTGTTATAAACATTAATTCAGAATGCATGTTTTATGTCGGCATGACATACGAGTCATGGAACACTTTCATTAGAAGTACTTTTCACTAATGTTCTTGATAATGCAAAGAACAAAAGTGTGTGTGTGTGTGTGTGTGTGTGTGTGTGTGTGTGCAAAAACATTACTGATAAGTCTGGGTTAAAAAATGTGTGGGAACTATACAAGATGAGAGTGAAATGTGTAGTGTCAAAAAATAAGAAAGAATCCATAAAAAAAAAACTTATATTAATAGGGTATGTCAAGGAGCACTGAAGCCAACTGAAAAAAGCACATAATAATCAAAGATGGACAATTGTTAGCAGAAAATTACATAAAATATAATTTTTATATCTCTTCTGACATTGTACACTATTTATTTTATTTTAAAGAGAATAATAAAGAAAAGAACAATAGCCAAATACCCACAACATAAACAAAAACAAAACAAAGCAGAAACAATAAAAATGATACAGGGTTTCAGATCAAACTGATAGGAATTAACAGTAGCTGTTATCCTACATATCGCTATCCTCAACGAAGTTGCTCAGATTACCAGAGGTAAGAATGCAAGATTGATCAAACCATTAAAGAGAATAAAAAATAAAAACAAACAGAAAGTTAGAAACGATACAGAGTTTCACTAGACAAAATGGTAGGAATTCACCAGTGGTTGTTATATTGCATATAGTTGTCTTCAAATTAGTTCTTCAGATTACCAGCTATAAGCATGAAAATTTGGTCAAAAAGAAAAAAATAGACATTAATTGTTCTTTTCAGTAAACTATTAGAGTTCAGCAGTGCAGTCATCCCAGATATCTATCTATATCTATCTGTATCTATATCTATCTATACCTATATCTATATCTATATATATATCGCTTCCTTCTTCTTTTTTTCTTTTTCTCCTTTTGTACTGTTTATTTTTAAAGTGTCAGGTATTTTTTAAAAAATCACAGTACTGATTTATTAAGTATTATTAATAATTTATTAGTAGAAGGTAATTCCTTGCTGATATTCAGTTTTCTTTGGTTATCTGAAAAATTTATTGTCAAATGAATATCATGAGTCCATACGATGAAAACAAATGATTAGATGTAGCTGAGATAGATGAGACCAGTCTTCCCTGTAGAAGAATGTCAGGGAGTTTACATGGATACTCTTTCCTCAAGGAGGGGGACCATAACCCTCTACTCCTTAAGTGTAGAATGTACATAGTGACGTTCTTCTAAATAGGAGAGGATGGAAAGGATAATTTTACAACAGACAAACCTGAAAAACACAACTTGAGTTATTTGATCAAGTTAACACCAACACTGATGGGGTATCTTGGTAGCATGTACCCTTGATTTGATGTTAGGAATATTACACTTTTTCTAACAGAGCCCTAACCCCATCTAATCATAGGAGAAGCATTTGACAAATCCTAATAGAGCCACACACTACAAAAACTGGACCAATACTTCCTCAAATTGTCAATGTCATCGAAAACAAGGAAAGCTTGAGAAACTGTCACAGTCAAGAAGAGACACAGGAGAGATGTCTAACTTGCGATGTGGTAGGTCGTCAAGCAAAAACTAAGGCAGTTTGAGTAAACTATGGACTTTAAATAATTATTTATCAATATTAATCTTTTTATTATGACTGATGTACCATGGTAATATAAGAATGTTACCAATAGGAGAAA